ATGTCTTAAGAGAAATATTTTTGACAAAAAAAACAAAAACATAGAAACATATAGTTTATGATAAAACAGCAAACAAAGAAAGAACAATCATAAACACTGCACATATTAGTAGCACAGGGTCCATCTTTGGGCATAAACATATTTCTGAAATATCATATACTGTAATTCCAAATGTGATTAAAGGTAAATTACTTTTGCAGGAGGAGAAAAATATATGGAGTTATTAAAGGAGTGTGGAGTGAAATGCTGTGTTTTGCCACTGGCGAAGCATGGCTGCATAGAAAGAAGAAAAGAAGTCAAACAGGAAGGCGGGGGGTATTTATTACAGATTGCGTTCTTGTGATTGGTTGCGTGGCGGGTAGTGGAAGGACAAATGGACAAATCTGTGGAGCTAATAAGAGTGAATACTGAACAGCCCTCATGGGCAAATCTGGTACTAAGATGATAATAAGATTATAAAAGCCTACTATATTGCAGCAAATTGTATAAGTGTTTCATTGAACCTTGTTGAACTTTCATTTATGCATGCAGACGCTTTCCCTTTTTTCTCTCCACCTTCCCTTTTACCAGCCTACAGTAAAGGTTTTTTTTTTTTTTTCAGAAAGTAAAAATTGAGAAAATGACTGAAAAAACTAAAAAACTCTTGTGCAGAGTTTACCAGTCGAGGGTTGAACTGCAGATCACAGACAGGGCTTAATGGGCAGACCTCTAGTTAACATAATCACAATAGCCTCACAGATAATTCACGGTGACTCTATGGGAGATGTGATTATAAGCACGTCACACCTTGTCAACTCCTTTCACAGACGCACATGTCACACACAAAATCATGTTGAGATTAAACATCTTCTTTTGTGGGCTGACCAAATACACTGTGATATTTCTCTCTTCTGTAACTGAACCATTCTACTCAATAGGCTTTCTAAAAATGCCCTAAACTCTCTGTCACATCAAAGAGTGGATAATGAACAAGTTTGACAGAGCTGTAAATGGTGTGGTTGATGTTGATCATGTTCATTTTGTCAGTTGCTAATAGTGAAAGCTTTGTCTTCAGCTAGAGCAGACACATGTCTATTGACTTTGTTGACTTATCGTTCTAATCTGGGAGAAGATACAAGCCAAGAACCACAACGAATCAATAAACAAGGACGGTCCCCTACAAGTGCAGCACAGAACAGCATCAAAGTGGTCAAGCCTTTCATTCACATAGAGAGGGAGGAATAGATCAGGTCATCACAGGACATTACATGGACCAGCCCTACTGTACCTATCCATGAAAACAGACATGGAACAAGTAGTCTCATCAGCGTGGAGTGTAACAATGAGACCCCAAAGCCCCCAAAATCAGATCTGACATTTTTTTTCCGTTACATAGTTCTAATTGTAGCTATGATCTTTATTAGGGAATTAAATTACACCTAAATCGCACATAACTCACATAACAACAATTAAAGCTACAACTGTATGGAATTATGTATCTAGTGTGGTATGCTATGTAGACTGTTAGTTTGTAAAAGTGAAATTAACATGAACTATTCTGCTGAAACTTAACCAAAATCAACCCAATTACTTTCCTTTATAATGAATTGCTCTCCCACAAATGTTACTGGGGCAGCGAGCCTAGGTCAGATGTGTTATAGTCTGGTTTACCACAGTTTTCCGGTCCATTTCCTGTGACAGTATTTATTTAGTCTATCAAAACACTAGAACACATATGTAAAAACACCAATGCATACACACAGACTTGGTTTTTATGTCATCTTCCAACAGGCTGGTGGACATCCACAAACCCAAGCTGAATAAATAGTGGTTGGAATAGGGTGAGGTTAGTTTGAGTGCAGTTTCCTCTCAGAGTGAACTTGAATGAGAGGGCTGGTCTGTGGTGAATGGGTGCCGACAGATAGAGATGTCTCACGGTCAACGGTGCATAGATCACTGAGGTAATGGTTTCGCTCCAGTTCAGTGGTTTTTAAACTGGGAAACTGGCATCTCTAGTATTTATGCAAGCTTAGAGTGTTAGAGCTTTAATATGTAGTTACTCTTACTTAGTTATTACATAGTTATTTGATACAATTTTTAATATTCTGTGAAAAACTGAACCGGTTCGTATTAAATAGCTTGCAGTGGTCCAAACATCGTCTTCCTCCTACCATCTTCCATCCGGATTGCTCACGGTGATGAGTTTATTATATGAGTTTTAAAATGTTTTAAAATTAGATGGCACACAAAGGTCTCATTTTTGCCTTAAAAAAAGCAAAGAAACTGGTACAGACTCTTTAAGTGCAGAATTTGTTGTCTTGATTGCTTGGGATGGTCCTAGTTCATAGAGTGGTTGACTTGGTTTTAATTTTGTCAACAATTAGGGATAGTAATTTTTCCATTACAATTTCGTGTCAAGGCAAATATTTTCTCAGAGTGCATGTTGTGTGAATAGTTTGAGAATCTGTGGTCAGACCTATAGTAGAAGATCACCACAATGCTAATGTGCTTTCTTGATATATTAATAACCTTCAGCCACGGAAGGATGAGCCTTGGGTAAGGAAGAAAGGCGGCGTGACCTCTCAAGTCCTTGCGCACAAATTATTTCTCTGTGCTATTTAAAGATTGCATCACTTTTAGCCAAATCTCTGCTATTTTAATAAAAGGTAGAAGAACAATGAACAATAGTCTCCAGTGTAATTGCACGAGGCTCACTGTAAAAAGGCAAATCAAAATATTGCACAAAGCAGTAGTAGTGTTTATATTGAGAAGTCTTTTTCAACAATCCATTAGAGATAATTACAACCTTGTGTTGGGTTGCTTGTACCAGAGCAGGGTGGGTAATTAAACCACAGGTAAGACATTAACTTACTTTTGTTAGTCATTAATCAGTGTTTACCTTCAGAGGGCTCTCCCATTGTAATTAATAATCAGCTTGGACAATGAGTAATCACCTAAGACCAAGTCTGTGCGCATGCGTGTGCCTATAATGTCCTGTACTTCATCTAAAAAGCATCTCCACTGGTCAGTCATTTTTCTTTATTACAAAACAAGTCAAGTAGAATGCAAAGTATCAAATTCAAACTAAGTCTCACCCTCCATATTTGTTAATAAATAGTAAATAGTATTTATTGCAAACAAATCTTGGAAGGACCATACAGAACGCCCACCCATCATCTCATCTTAGCTTCAGGGCTAATTTAACACATGTATAGACACAAAAAAGGTTGCAAAGTCAGATGTATTCCACACTATCTGCATACTTAATCCTGGTAACTCATGTTGCTCAAAAGGCCAGACAGTTTAGCCAGACATAGAGAAACAAATTTAGACCAAAAATTTGAATAAAAGAAAAATTTGAGCCAGTTAAAATAAAAATAAAAATAAAAAATCTGACATAGGATTCCAATGGCAGAGCCCTTTTATTTACTTTTGTCATGCAGCTATAAGAGTTTCACTTCGTGTCCTAGCATAAAAAACACAATAAATATACCAATAACAGCACAACTATAGGTCTACCACAACAAGTGTACTTTCCTACACAGTTACACAGTTGCCAGGTTAGACTACATGGAATGCCTGTATGCAAGATCTAAATGGGATGTATCGGCATATGTCAAAATGGCAATAGGATTATGAGGCCTGCCTTCTTTTGTAAAGCAGAGAAAAATACTCGGCCTGTGTGCACACAGCACTACCATAGCAATAGCTACCGTGACAACATCAGCTATGTCTGAAGAAGAAGAGGAGGCTGTTGGGAGCTGTGTGTGATTTGATTGAAGCTTCTGGCCATGATGTCCTGACAGCCTTCCCCTCAACCTTTCCTCCACCTCCTCACCTCTATGCTCAGTGCCGCTCTGCTGTGCCCCACACCACAATGGTGCTGCCTGTGAACCTGCTAGGCTGCCAAGGACACAAAGATGACCGCGTCAACCTTTGACATCTGAGGCTGCCACCAAAAGACCAGAGACAAGCTGAGTTGGCAGCTCTGTTAACATGCCACAAACTCACATCTTTTCAGCTTGGTTCAAATAGTAAAAGTCAATAGAGCACAAGTCAATAGTTCAAACATACAGATGGACACTGTGTCAGGCAGGTCAGTGTCGGAACAATGATAGGCATACCCACAGTTTCAGAAGCGAGCCCCAATAGCTTGGCTCAAAGGTTACTGTCTTTTAGAGCTACACCAGATATATCAAACTTCAAGAAAAAAATGACATTTGAACACGAAATACTACATAGGTTTAGAAATAAAGGCTGGGTGACATTTCAAGGAGCTGATTCACTGGACGATCTTAAGGCTACCCACCTACACAGCTCTGTGTGGAACACGCTGTTTTAGTGACCAAGAGGAGATAGCGATGCTCAGTCTAATGCAGAGCATGTGTCAGATGACCTATACATTCACCAGGAGATTACTGAGAGGTTATAAAGAATGCTGCTGATAAAGAAAGGATTTATTTTGTTCAATCAAAGTTTATGTCGACACAGTAAAAATAAGTGGGAATGCAAACACTCTGTGCATGGCTATACTATGTGTCTCTCTTTAAAAACAACACTGCAATCATAGGCTTTTATCAACGCTCATGTTGAGGATTACAGCTTTCATCCCTAATCCTACATTAAGAACACATTCTCATGATGCAGTGACATCACAGAGACCAGTGCACTACAGAGAGGGCACAGGGACAGTGCCAAACACCACAGGAGAGGATTCAGGAACATAGGATGGAGTGCAAATGAGAAAAACAGAACACATACAGTAACAAAATGTAAGTACGTCTATTAAGAGCAGCTTCTCTATACCTTTGTCATTTCCTAAGATTAATATTTTATATCTATATACAATAATTACAGAGTTAGCCCATTCGACCAAAATTTAGACCTATGTAATATCAGTAATCATAATGTACTCTTGTGGTTATTATTGGTCATGTATTTGTGTGTCATTATGGAGCATTGTTTGTTGCCAAATAAACTCCACACTAGTAAAAAAAAAAAAAAAAACACCCAGTTGTTACCTGCAGAGACTCTGGGGCAATCTGGCAACATGGAATCCAACGGTGTGTCCAGTGGTTCTGGACTTGACACCCAGTTACAGCAGTTCTGTCGAAAGAAAATACAATACCATTAAATATTGATATTTTATATTATAGTCAGTAAATTAAATTACAAAAAAGTTAAACTAAAAATGATTTGGAAGACAGTACAGACAGTGTAGAACGTGAAAAACTGTGCATGGAATCTTGGGCGGTCGACAGAAACGAGCAATTAAGAGCCCTGTGACATGTTGCTTGGACAGCTTGGCGTTTGTTTGCGGTGTAGAGCTGAGGCCTTCTACCACAGTGGATGAGTGGGCGCCCTGGGGGAGGGTGTCTGCCCAGCTTGCTGACCCATAACCTCCTGCAACACCCCTTGTTCTCTCAAGCCTCTGCGGTTGACAACTCCACTGTCAAAAAAAGGGAATACCTCTTCATCCATTTTTTGTTGTCTTCATTTTCTGTCGTATCTAAGACTTGCTATATGTATAAATAAGGAGCACCTTAACACAAGGTACAAACATGCATTTTTTAGTTTGTTATGCCTCAAATGGCTTATAACAACATATCAAAGAGTGTTTTTTCCCTTGACCGCGCACTGGCCATTGGTATTCTGAAGCTTGGTAAGACTAGAACAAAAACAAGTGAGAAGAGGGAGGAGAGAGGTGGGCTGAGGAGGCATGCTTGGAGAAGACGTTCCCCAGATAAGATAAAAGTTCAATAGAAGAAAGAGAAAATGTAAAGAGATTAGAATGTGCAGCTGGCGTCCTTCTGAATCACTGCTTATCTGCCCTTGTTTACTTTTCCCTGGCCCCTTGACAGCCATTACAGTGCGCCGCATGCTTATGGGTGCATGTGTGTTTGGCTCAATGATTGCGTTGCAGGGGGTCCTCCAGCAAGATGTGAGTCCTCCAGATATGAAAACACCAAATAATGCCTTTGTACTTTTTGCCCTCAGTAACCCTAACTACCTACCACAGAACATGATAATGAGATGATATGTCCAAAATATGTAAGTATAGACCAAATGTCTACACAACGTGTTTCATTTTATTCCGTTTTTTTTACTTCATCCAATTGCCACTGCATAATGAACTCCTCTGAATGGACAGTGATTTAAGTGTATCAAACATTCTCAATGCAACTTTCAATTTATCCAGGCATAGAACTTACAGATAAAGAAGAAGAAAGATGGCTCAGTGGACTTTTTTTTTCCTGAACATTATCCAGGTCTTATCCAGATCTTTTCCAAGAACTATGTTGGAAAGAGAGTGAGGAGGAGGGCTGGAAACAGAGAACGATGTCAATTGTGAAAATGGTTTTCCTTTACCATGCCTTATGTTATTCTTTGAGACAGGTCTCTAGGGTACAGTGCTGTAGCACCACAGAGCAGTATAGGGCTCATTGACTGCTGTATCAAGTTTCTCATTGTTTCTCCTTTAATTCATTCAGTGTGTCTAGAGGAAGATGTCAGCCTGACTCTGAGGCAGCAGGCTCAGGGCGGCTGGAGAGATGTGAAGGAGTCTTTCAAAAGGCCCTCCCCCTTCACCTTCCCTCAAAACCACCAATAGAGGGATGGCAGTGGTGGCTTGAATAGATTTGTCAAGGCAACAACACATATACACACACGCGCGCGCGCGCAAACACAGTGCACACACACTGCATACACCGCCCCAGAGCTGTGGGAGACCACAGGCAGAACAGCAGTGGTACAAGGGCGGGCCTGCTGAGTGGGATTAGAGCGGGCGACAAGACAAAAGGATGGCACATAGCATCGAGCTGCCTCTGATGGACCGCATCGTCACTTCAAGCCTGTGTCTGTCCATCAGTGCCACCTCTGAAGTAAGGCGAGAAAGAGAAACCAACATGTAAACACATTTGACTCTTATGATGCATGTAGATGGCAGTGCCTACCTCACATCACCTGCACCAAAGAACAACCTTTAATATAGCAGAGATAGGTGATAAAGGTAATGACGAGGATAATAGCAGAGCCACTATCCCTTATTTTAGGGGGAATGCTTTTAAGGTTATGGCTGCACTTATGTTACCTAAATGCACACACTGACACTGTAATGGTGGCCAAATGTACCACTGAAAGTAGGATGTCAAGGTCCAAGAACTTCTAATATCTACTGTTGGAGACACTGTCTTTAAAAGATCTTTAAAGGAAAAGTCACGCTCAGGTGTGTGGTTTTTACCTCAAATAATTAGTATTAACAAATACTTAGTGTTGAATGATCTAACTTAACTTTTTTTTCAATGCCACAGTCATCTCAAAGTGAAAATCTCCAAAACTCAAAAGTACAACTGTGAGTTCATTCAAATGTAAAATCTATTCCATTTTCTTCCTGACAAACCCACCAAACTGAGTCCAGTGATTCAAAGTGTATGTAACCATAACACACATGACAGCCCACAACTTAACTCCTCAGAAACTCGTCCCAAGTATCCTGCCTTGCTCTTCCCAGAGTGTGCCCGGCTCCCTCCCTGCTCCCTCCAGTCGCTGTATAAACTCTATGGATTAGGATGGTTTATTCATGACTGTAGTGTACCCAGTGTGTGTGTATATGTATGTATGTGTGTGTGTGTATATGTGTGTCTGTGTGTGTGTGTGTGTGTGAGCTCTAGGCAGGCCACTAGAGTGTGACAGCAGGCCAGCACAGTGACAGGAGACACCTTGGAGACTGTGACAGGCTGCCAGCTGTACACCATCATTGGCATTTCTCTCTTTCACTCACTTCTCCTTCTCCATGCTACTCATCTATCCTCCAGAAACATCTCTTCATCTCTTCTCCTCCCATCTGTATTCCCACTATTCATAAGCTACCTGTCTTTATGTCTTCCACACCTTCCCTTTATGCTACCTTGGCAGCGCGTGGGAATTTTAATAATTGATAGTTCCTCAGACTTTATATTTGGCCCATTTCCTTCCCATTCTCAGTCATAGTGGCATCTATCTTGTTTGCCTTTACCCATACCCTCTCGATCCTCTCCACGTCTAGCTATATAATTTCTCTAGGGCACGAAGCAGGTCACTCCTGTTGTGACCTATTTGGCCTATATAACAAGGCCCAGCAGGCAGTGATCTCTGAACCCTATCCAATGCCTTTTACTATCCACTCCTCCTTGGTCTGTCCCACCATCGTATGACCTCCTGAACTTTGAAGTAAGAGAATTATCTGTACAGAATGGCGCAATGGAATACCAAAGCACACTGGTTTCTCATGCATGCAGTCAAATGGGTATGTATGTTCTTTTACATTCGATTGCAGGGTTAGCCTTCTTCATATAAGCATCTTATATTCAGAAAAGAGATTGGCAGGTGGAATGGGTGTGTTTTTTACTCTGTCTCTCAAGGATATACAGAAAGCGAGACATTAAACGGTGTTACCAGCACTCACCCATATTGCGCCTACAGAATCATGAAACATCATAAAATTTGAGCAAGCCTAATGTTAAACAAATGGAGATTTTAAGATGCTAAATACTAAACACGGTGTACATCCAAATGTGTTCTGATATATACAGTAGAGTATTAAAGCCATTTTGCTTTCTTTCTTTTATTTGTTTTACATTATTTTGGCTAAACCATCTCTCTGGGCATTCCAAAGATTCCATGTGTGGTTGATACCAAGTTCTATAGGTGACATGAACAATATTTTTTTCAAGATAAATAAGAGGCATATTCAAAGATTGGAAAATCCAATAAGATGTGATTTTTGAACAAACAATAGGCTATTTAATTCTAGAGATAAATAGCTCAAGGTGGGGCAAGGTTGCAAGTACACTCTAATAACCATCTATACATGATATTTTTTCCAGACTCAACAGAGTTCTCTTCTTGATTGACCTGTATAATAGATTTATTGTGCTAGATTTTCATAATGAATATCATATCTTTTATAATTAGATGTAAAACCTGAATTAAAAACAGCACAAGGTGAAAGAAACCAGTACAACCTAGAATGCACAGTCAAATAACATGCACAGACATCCAGAGACAAGCAAGACACCTGAGAGTAAAAACGAAATACAGCTCGGCAAAATGGGAGATGACAGAAATATTACAAACAAAAGGCTAGGGATATAAAGTAGGATGTAATACAAATAAAGAGTGTGTGCATGTGTGTATGTGACATTTGCATCCCTGGCTCTGAAGCTGCTCTAGTCTGGGCTAGTCCTCATCTGTATGTGCATACTGAGTGAGCCCAGGTGCAGCGGATGGCGCAGAGGTCACACCAGAAAGGGCAAGTCCTAAAATGAAGCTAACACAAATGCACATGTGCGCGTGCATCCGATCTCACACGCTTAAACGCTAGCACATCAACACATGACGCCACTCTTAAGATATATGCATGCCCAGCCACAGACACACAGCGCTTCTTTAACTGTCTAAGTTATTCATTGACATGCACCAGGAAAAAAAGAGAATAAAAACGGTTTTCCACTTCTGGGGCAAGATAGAGTTTCAAAAGTCTAGTATCAAACTGGATAAATAAGATAGAGATTAGCTCAGTATTAATTCAATCACCCCCTCAATTCCATTAGGGGCAATAAAAACACAGGAATTCACCATGTACTTTTATATCAGTACACAAAGCAGGATATGGGTGTGTATGCATCAGGAAGGGCTTTTGATATAAAACATTTGGTAAATCAATATGCAATTTGGTGCCAGACAAAAGATCATTTGCTGTTGCCACAGCAGAAGAGGAAGGTAAAACCATTCAACCATTAGGGGCTGGAGATGACTGTAGCCTTGGTACTTTAGGTTTGAGACAGAGTACACCCATTCTCATTGCATCCACATTGAAGGACATGTATGTTTTGTAAAAGAAAAGACAAAAGACTGTTAAAATGAATAGTTAACATGTGTTTATATTATGCATTGTCCTATTCTAAAGATGCACTTTAAGGTTAAGATATGTTAATCTGTTTCCCAATTAAAAGAATGAGTAGTGTTTTGCAGTATCTGAGCATTATTTACCTGCTGCATCCAGTCTTGTGTGCTTTTCGTAGTCTCTTGTAACCAGATGTTATGAGCTGAGTCAGTCAGGGCCACAGCACACACTTTGTTCTTCACTTCTGCCTCTCTCTGGTTCATCTATAACAAGAAAAAGACAGTATGTTAACAAATTATTTTTTATGAACATGACCCATCAAAAAATTACATTATAAGTCAGTAATCATTATCTGTTTGGGAAGGGTTTCTGTTAATAATACCATTGTAACACACTCTAACCCTGACCCAGCCATACTGATTCAGTCCGCTGTATACTGTAATGTTATAGTGAAATATGAAAGAGCTGTACCACGAAAGAATGCCCTTGTCACGTTGTGTGCAAATGTCCTTTCCTGCACACGTTCAAACACCTTGGTCCCCCTGCTTAATACCCTCTCCCTTCACATGTCAGACGCATGTGAATGTGAATCTTCTTATTCCCTTCTGAATGTCAATGCCAAGGAAAATGTCACACAAAGGACTTGTTACCACACTACAATAGACTTCCCACACTGCTGGTCTCACCCCTAGAGTACTGTAGCCAGGCCTTGGGAGCAAGCATTTCAACTCCTTTTAAGCTTTAAGATAAAACTGCAAAGAATAGGGAACAGGATTTACAACAATGGCTGAACAATCACTTGGGGAAAGTGTGGATAGTCATAGATGTTGGTACGAGGTACAGGGCTATTAATTGATAAATTGATAAAATAGAAGGTTGACAATTGGTCATGGAGAAGAAAAGGTTAATGTGTCAAAGATTCTATAATTGGATGATAGTAAAAATCATGTGGGAGAAAGTGAAACTGTGAAGTATGTAAGAATGTATGTTTAAAAGTAGCACAGTTGTAAGTGTTCACCTTCAGGACATAAGGAAGCTGGTTTGGTACGTTACTCAAAGTACTTTGTTGTTGTATGCATTGCAATTAGCTATCAGTAGAAATTTGGTTTAGTCTTGGAGATACTGATTATATATAGGTATATCGGTGTATACTTGGTCTAATTTTGTAATAGCAAAGATTTTATTTATTTTATTGTTTCTTTCAATAATTTATGGTGGCTGGAGACCCAAGTCAGTTCAAAAAAATCTTTAACTGCATGGCCAGCACAGCGACTTCAAGTAGAACCTCTGTTACATGGCCAAGCAGCTAATAGTGTTAGTTTTAAAGGTTCCACTGGTGCCTCTTAGCCATGCTGCAGATAGTAACTGGTAGAGTCATAACCATATAAGCGCACAAAAACGAAAGTCTGTAGTGAATACACAGTAAACACAGTCTCACACAACTCTACTTCCTGCACATCTATGACTAGTTAAAGTAACCTTCCTTTGGCAGAATTGGGCCCATGGGAGTAGCAAAGTCAACCTTTTAAAACAGGACATGTCAGTCAATGTCATGCAAGTTTCATATTTAGTAGCAAACATGCTTCGAGATCTGCAGACAATACTTTAAGTTCAGCTCTGCGCTTTAATTTTAATTAAACCCATGATAAAAAAAAAAGAAATATCGATTTGCCAAATGTGTAAAAGATAAAAAAATAACATTTGAAAAACAACCCACTCTCCATCATGACCATTCCTTTTGACCCTAGTTCATAATATTTCTAAATACAGCTCTTCTCTAGCTCTTGACCATATCGACTTCAATACATACAGTACCACTAAAACACCTTCATTTGCACAATACATTGTAACTGACCTTTCACATGGCTCTTGGTATAGAATAGTGTTTAGCCTTTGAAGCTGCTTCTTGCCACAAAGACCGCTAATTGCACCTTTTGTGGGGCATAATCTTATTTTCACCACTGGTTCACTGTGGGATATGTGATGGGTGTGTGTTTGTATATAGGTGTGAGCACTGTGTCTCTATGAACTGAGAAAGGAGGGCATATTAATCATGTTTATTTATCTGGACCAGGACTTGAAATAGGCGACGAGACATAATTTAACAGCATGCTAAGCTAATCTCTGGTTGAGATAAATACTTCATTTCTCTCCTCTCCCTGTGATGCTCTTTTTGCTCGTGACTGCTCCGCTGATGCAACATCTAAACACCGGCAATAATAAAGACAATTATTTAGGCCTTTGATAATTATGTGTCAAAGGCAGCGAATGCCACTAGATAATTGGGCAAAAACTGAATGGTAATCCACAATGGAGTTCCCCATGGGGAAGACGGGCAGCACCGTCCCTAGAAAGAATGCAGAGAAAATGGGGAAAAAACATGGACAGAAAAGAAAGATGAGCGCTCTTTAAGGGGCCTTGCTCACTGTCAGATAGTCAGTGTGAAAAGCCACAATTATACATGGAGAGAGTGTACGCCAAACAACAGATAGGACGACAACAGATACAGGGAGAATGACTGCATGAAAAAAAAAAAAAAAACGAAATAAAATGCATGCTGTTGGTGTGGGAAGTGGGAAAAACTGTGCAGAGGCCAAGGGGAAGACTGAAAGAGGAAGAGAGAGAGAGGGCCCCCTGTGACGATGCCAGTCAGAAACCAGGCTTATGATGTGGCTACGGAGCACACTGCCAACAGCCACAGATAATCTAGGACTACCCACTGAGCACTGAAGCACTGCTTAAATATTTGATTGATTAACTGTCCCGACGCTGCCAGAGAGCAAGAGAGGAGCAGCGGAGGAAAAGCCAGGGCAACACAGCACAAATAAACAAACATGGATACAAGTGCATATGGGGACACTAACCCATATATCCCAGCAGGCCAGCACTGGAACAGGAATGTACACTGCATAGATTGAGAGCACATGTAGAGGCTAAGAATATTAACACACAGGCAAGAATAAACCTACATAAACACATTTAGTTTAGGTTAACTGTGGCAATGACTTCTTGAATCATAAGGGGCATGGACTTTCAGACATACAATGGTCAAACCAATAACTCTTACACAGAGCAGTGACTAGACTGGAGTCCAAGCAGCAGCACATGCCAGGCTGTTTTACAGTATACAGTCTTATCCAATACAACCTACTGGCCAAAAAAAAATGCAACTAAAATTAAATAAAAATTGAAAAAAAAAAAACAACACAACAACAACAACAACAACAACAAAAAAAACTGCAGTTCCAAACCCAGACTAGAAAGTCCTAGATTAGTTTTAGTTATGGTTCATTGTCCACTCTGTTGTATGCATAAGCCATTTAGTTATTACAAATATCAGGTGTCATTTAGCATCTGAAAAAAAGAAGAGAGAATCCCTTTGCAGGCCAATGCTGCCAATATCCACATAGAAGAAACTGATCCCGGGTCATAATATATTGACAAATAGTGTGACCATTCCACCCATTATTTCCAATACACAAACACACATACAGACACACTCATTCCTGTCAATGGCGGTCTGTATAAACACCAGGCAGCTGGCTCCAACACGCTCCGACACCCTCCACAGGAAAAGACAATGCAAGTGCTTCCTGTGGCTTTGAAGTCACAGTCCCAGGTCGCATGTTGGGCCCAGGCTTCCTCTGTCTTAACCACAGGAAGGAAGCTCTCTCGGGCAGTGGGGTACAATGCCTTGGGGAGGGCCTGGTAGCTATCTATGTGTGGCAGTCAGTGTCAAGAGAAGTGTAGTACTTGTGAGGCCACATGTTTTGACTTTATGGACAACTTCAGCAAAAGTCTTTAAAGCACATTTGACAGATTTACATGTTTTCAGTTGGATAGTAAGTGGCTGTTGTGAAGAAGATTTACATAAAGGTGCTGTCACACATTTGATGGGTCAAAACATAACTATTGTCTGTATTAGACGAGCTTTGGCCCTTGTTTACATTTTGGTTGGTAGGTAACAGTTAAAGTTACAGTTATCTGCTGCTCATGGCCAACCAGGAAGTAAAACAGTAGGGTATGATTTATTTATTTATTTTTCCCAAATCTTAAGTATTTGTTAAACTACGTATATTAACTATGTTTTAGTGTCATTTGGAGTCTAATCAGTCTTTAACTTTAAGTATTATCAAAGAAGAACTAAGGAAGGCACAAGCAGATAGCACTCCTGTCTCACAGCAAGAAGATTCCAACTTTGCTAGTTTCTACAGTGTGCCTCTCTTGTGCTTTGATTTGTAGGCCATCAGCAGCACTGGTTGAAGGTAGATCATTGTTACATTAGAAATAAACTGTTAGGGGTCAATTCTGATTTGGCAAGGAATAAAATGACAATGGGTAAAATGTCTCTAAATAAATGTAATTTTAATAAAGTAAAAATCCTGAGTACTACTGTATCATATCTGCTGCGCCATTACCGCAGTCTGAGACCCACTGCTCTATGGGCTACTCCATTCTCAATTTGTGTGGTCACATGTCAGTGCGAGGGTGCAAGGCATCGGGTGAAAACGGCAATGACTTCCTCTTCTCTTTCCTCTTTCCTTGAATGCACATGCACGACAGGAGCAAAAGGAAGGTGGCGGGTGGACGCGGCGGGTGAAATTTCAAAGGGGCATTGTTAAACTATATGAGTGACAGGACCGGACACGGGGCAGCGGCAGTGGGTGCATGTGTGCGTATACCTGTCGGAGAACATGCAAACACACAATTATCAGGGCAAGCACAGAGGAAAAGGAAGGCCAATAAATATTTACTGACACAGCACAAGTGGAGAATGGGAGTCCACTGCTGAAACAAAAGGCAGAGGATGGAGTGCGGCGTGCCAGGAAACCAGACGGCTGCACGAGCTGAAGCGGCCAGTGCCCATCAGAAAAACAAGGAAGGGAGGGAGGGCACAGGAGACAGGGGCTTTCTGTAGTGGACATTTCTGAACATCTGCACCAGAGTGCAATAAAGAATAGTATATAGTTTTGTTTCGTTTTACTGTGTATACAGTTAATACAGTAATTTCCTGTGTGGTACATCATTTTGTAACACCAACAAGTGGCAATATTAAGACATATAACCCAGTAGGTCCCATGTATATTTTATATATAATACTTTTTAATTTAATTCAATTGTTGCATTCCTGGCTTATTGGGATAACAGAACAGTATATATAATTGTTTTGATTTTAACTTAACAAAAAAGAGAAAGCTCCATAAGTTGAAAGGAAGTCTGTATTGTTTAGTGACAGCAGCAGACATTTTCAGAATGATAATTT